CTCATTGTTCGGTGCCGGGAAGTTCCTGAACCGCACGGACACGGGAGGCCGGAGGAACTCTTATCTCTTGGCTCCCAAATTGTGAATGGACACTCAAGAAGCACGGACAACCTGGCCTTCATTTCAGGAGGATCACGGTGATACAGATAACTCAGCCTCAAATATAGTTGAGAAACGGGGAGTTTGCAGGTTCAAGGCTTGGGAAAAAAATCATTCTTAAGAGAGCGGCCAGGATTCTGCGTTCCCTAAATCCCTTCAGCCCGACTGGGAACATCTGAACCTGTCCCGAGCAGCTGGGCAGCCCCTGGCCACCCACACAGCAGCACTGCCAACACACCAGAGATGTGCCCTCCCCACGGGACACCACACAGGGGCAACTTGGCGCGGCCTCCGTCGCACATCCGGAGGCGCCCAGCTTTCCCAACCCTCCCTCCCACACCCAGGAAAGCAGGACTGTCCGGGAGCTCTCCCAAAGAACACACCTGGTGAAATGGTTTGGGTCTATGCCCAAAGGAGAGCCAGGTTCCATCCAGAAGATCCACAGCCTTCCCTCTGACTCCTGAGAACTAGGGGAGCCTCAGCTGCCTCCTGCCACCAGCAGTGTGACCTGAGGAGAACCTCGCTGGAGGCCTGGGAATGCCAGGGGTTGATGGCAGGAGCCACCTGTGGCCCTTCCCCATCCAAAGGATCCCGGAACATGGTGGAGGAAGGAGAACCTTGCTGCCTCATCTGCACAGAGATTCTCCTGCTTTTCTCAGCACCCTGTAAACCAAGAATGGGATTATTTCCTGAGGATTATGGAGTGATCTAAGAAACTATTGGCAAGTTGGTTGGAGGTTCAGGAATAACATGTCCTAGAGGAAGTTGCTTTTATATGATTTGTTCACTGATAATTTGTTCATTACTTCTAGAAGGTTGTTTTACCTATGACACTACTTGAATCTTCTTAACTAAAAGTTGGGGTTTTTTATTTATCCCCACACAATTTTCTACAGCAATCCCATCAGGGTCCCAGGCAGAGGCTGGAATGTTTCCCACTGTTGGCTTGAAGTGCTCACCCCTTAACATCCAATACATACATAAAGAAGAAACCCAAAGAACACAGACAGAAAAAAATTAAGGGAGTTGATGAGTCTTTCAGGTGCCACACACAGATGTGAACTCGTTTGCCTTTTTGGGAAAAACATGGAGTCATAGAGTCCCTGCCCCTCATTAAGTGTCATTCCTTATCCACTTCTTTCTCCACTGCTCCATCTGCTTTTGCAATGCCACTCTGAAATCAGAGACAAACAAACAGGGAATGACCTATGGGGTTTATTTCTAACCTGGATCTTCCCACAGGTTTGGTTTATGGTGCAGCCCCACCAAGACAGATGTGTCTGCACAACGAGGAGGCAGAAGCTGCAGCCCATGGCAGAAGGTGTGGCCTGCTTGGCAAGGAGGCCTTAAAAAAAATGGATAAAACTCCTGCACCTGAGTAATGAGATCCAGGGGGAAAAAAAACCCTGTTCCCTTTGCTGCACCCTACAATCAAACACACTCCAATTCCGTATCGGTTTATCTACGAAAAACAAACCACGACATTTTTTCCCCAGTAAGAGCAGTGCAGATTTTAATTCATGCATCTTCTTGTCACGCTTTTTTTTTCGGCGTCACCGAGAGACCCGACACTGCACCTTCTCCCAGGCCACCAGACAGGAGGTGCTGAGCCAAGAACAACAGAGAGGAACAGCCAGATAAACATTTCTTTCATCGGGAAGCTCATGTGTGAGCTCACGGGTGTTGACAGGTCTTATCTGCAGTGAAATCAAAAGACCAAACTTGGATCTTGGCTTGGAAAGGTTCCCTGGGGCGGGTCCACCTCCACCTGAGAGCTGAGAGAGCCCAGCAGGACATCTGGGGTGCACAGGAACAACCCAAACCTTCCCTACATTGAGCTATTGGATGGTTATGGTGTCCCCAGGCAAGTTATCCAGCAAAGGAGCACCAGGAGGGTGGGTAAGCACCAAGGGGGCTTTGGGAATGTGGCAAATCAACACTTGGCATCTGCAAAAGCCATACACACAAACCCCACAAAGCAAGGCTGCTGCTCTGAAAAAGGAAGATACAGAAGCATCTAGAAAAGAGAGGCGTAAAAGTTAAGGTTAGAAAAGCAGGGCACAACAGAGAAGAGCCTCATAAATATGGGCAAATGTGTTAATTCCTTACAGAACTCTACTTTTTACATATATAGTTGCTGTCTTTCTGACACTGAGTTTTCTCAGTGGGCATCTCCTGGTGCTGAAAAACTCTTATCCTTGCTCTAAATCTCACGGGAGCCGAAGAGGGGAATTTATTTCAAGCCTGTATCTGAGATTGCTTCTTAAAACTAAGCAGCAGAGATGTGATAAGCAGGTTGTTTGTGACTGGAATGAGAACATTTTCTTCCTTTCAAGCCACCCCAGGAATTCAGTGCATCTTTCTGTAGCGAACCTGGAAAATTTCAGCTTCAGCCACCCTGTGAGCAATATGAATAACACAGAGACACCCAAGAGGATGCTGAACATCACACCAACTGCAGCTGTCATTGTCTTCTCTCCCTCTCCACCTCTGCCCCTTCTGAACACCTGATGTAATCCTGCATTTTCCTGTGAAATCAGCACAGATAAAACACATCATGCTGTTCATATCTCTCCCGAGTTAATTATTACATTGCACAGCCCCATCGGTTCAACACCGTGTCAGGCCAGGTGGGACAAGGAATTCTTCCTGATTTCAAAAGGAACAGCTCATTTTCACCTCCAGCCCTCTGTGATTTCCCAGTCTCAGCTCCAGTCATTTGTTTTCCACAATGAAAGAGTCTCTGTAAAGGAGGAAGTGTCTGTACCTATGTATTTAGCTCCATTATCTCATTAAGCAACCTGCCAGTTTCAGGAGGTCTCTCAGGATTTTTTCAGACTAAAAGTATGGATAATAAATCACAATTTTGAGCTTCAGCTTGTCCCAGGTGATTCTTAACTATGTAGGAATGCAGTAAAGTTTAAAATAACATTAAATTCCAGTAAAACCTTTTGTTATGCAGGAATCAATCCCAAAGAAAAGATGACCAGCAGACAACACGCCAGAACAACTCCCATGGCAAGCAGTTGGAACTCCATGATCTTTAAGGTCCCCTCCCTCCCAAAGCTTTTATTTTGAAATCCTCACAATGAATTGTGACAACATTCTCTCCTTCATTTAAAAAAAAAAAAAAGAAAGAAAAAGAAAGGCAGTGGGAATCCCACGCCTGAAACTACAACTGCAGCACAGCTGGAATATTCAAGGTTTGCCTGTAGAGCTAAGCCTGGAATTCAAAATTTTTAGTGACATTCACGGAAAACTACAAGAAGCAGCATAATAAAGCCAGTTTAAAGTGGTGTATCTGCAGGAGAATCCATGGCATCATAACCTGGGGATTATAGGGCCAGAAGAACACCCGGGTTAAAAACACCGCTGTGGGCTTCAGATTATTTGACTGCCAAAATTCTTGGTGTTCATCTGCAACAAGTCCCAGTCTACTGCTTCTTGCTTGCTTCAGTCATCACTCCTCACCAGCCTCAGCTCTTACACCCAGACATGCCATTATTGCATTAAAACATAATTACACTAACATTACAGAGTCAATTAATGCTCCGTGCAGTGCAATTACGCTCTGGTTTCGGAGCGATGCTCGTGTTTCGCACAGACCAGCGCCTCTAACCCCGGGGAACGCTGCTGTTCGTGCCTCAAAACCCCACCTGGCACCCTTTCCTCGAGAGATCCTTCAATCCAAACCTCCCCAGTCCACGCTGGTCTTAGAAGAAGCAACTCCTGACTCAGCTCACAGTGACAGCCCAAGGAAGTCGACACTGCATAATACCTAAATAATATAAACCTCATGTACCTGAATGGCTCTAGGATCCTATCCCCCACTCTAAAATCCTGGTCAACATCCCCCTAAATACTTTTCAGCCTTCCATGCCCCTATTTCCATGTGGAATGGAATCTTTTCCATTCAATTTTTGTTTCTTTACAGAGTAACTATGTCAAGACCAAGACAGAGGTGCGGGAGAGCAATTTTTGTTATTCATCCACAATGAAATAAGGTTTAGCACTGGTTGTTTTTTTGTTTAGGAGAGAAAACACACCCCACCCCACCCCCAAATAAATGAAGTACTGAAAGGTGTAATTTTCTTTAGGATAAATAAACCCCAGGTGTGGTATTTACCAAGGAGTGAATTCAGTTTCTTTTAAGAAGACTGTCTTCTCTGCTCAGTGCACAATAACAGGTGAGTAAAGCTCCCTGCTATGATGCAGTCTGGAGTTACACATGTATTTTTAAACACTTTTTTTAACACTCCTTCAGCAATGTGGCTGATTTCAAAACCAGCTGGGCAACCATTGCTAAATTCTGTGTCTTAAAGCACAGGAATATTCACTCGCTACAGCAAAGAGAAAAGTGAAATCACAGTATCAGCTCATATCTGAACTTAATGAGAAAGCTGAAACACAACTGGTGTTTCTCTAGATGAGGTGGGTCAGACCCATCACAAATTTGGTAACACAATTAAAGCAGCATCTGCAACAGAACTGCAGCATGTTTGTATCTACAGAGACTATCCAAAACAATCCATCATATCATCCAGCATCACTGTGAAAAACCTTTTAGTTCTGCTTCTGAAGAAATAACAGAAAAAAAAAAAAGACACTTTGCCAGGGACACCCAGAAACTTTGAAAAGCTTGAACTGCCTTAGAGAAACCCAGTTAAGCATTTTGCCTTTCAGTGGATTCAAAGCTGCTACAGGAAACAGATCTACAGTCACAAAAAAACCCAATAATTTTTGATTTCAAATACGTATTGTCCCCCACAGTACATACTGAGACAAGTTATGTGCACCCTAGAAAGCACCCACATTTATGTGCACACACACACACACACCCCCCAGGGTGCTTTGAAACAACCACCATTCAGCTGAACAAAAACATACTCCCAACCACAGAATTTCTCTATTAAATCCATGTTTATTGCTTAAGTTTTATCACAGTGGAGATTAAATTATGCTTAATCATCCGGTCAGTGCTTTTGTACCTTCTTTAATGCCAAAACCCCCCCCCCTCCCCCACATTTGAACCAAGTCATTCATACACTCGAAGTCTTCTCACCATCCCACCATTCATCGCCTCTTGTGTGCTCCTTTTAAGTTGCCACGAACTGCAAGATTGTAAAAAGGAATAGCTACTAGGCCTATTTATAATACCATTTTCTTCAAGTATTCGGAAAGCAGTACAAGTAGCTGTACTGTGTATTAGAAACATATCTGCACTGTTATTTTATTGCTATAGGACCGAGGCTCCTGATGGAATGACAAGCGAAATATTGCATCACTGTGTATGAAGATGATCTCAGCATCCCATCATCATTCCCAACTCCTGCCATGTTAGTGAGCGACACCGGGTAAAAACGGGGCATTTCCTCCCTTTTTCTCCTTTCAAGGCAAATGGGATCTCCAACTACAAATAAATAAAAGCGTACACTCACAACGTGTGTAGTGCAAAAATTCCAAGTAAACAGAATGACGTGGAAATCAAAAAACTCATAGTTGCCAACTTTGGTCGAGCGGGGCGGCGGCGGCCCCCGCGCCCGGAGCGCATCCCACCCTCGGAGCGGAGCCCGGCGCTCCGGGCGTCCCGCGTGTCGGCGACAGTGATTGGAGGAGATCGTTGCAGGGATGGGAAGGGGTGGGGGGGGACACGGCCACGGCCACCTCCCCAGAGCAGCGGCCAGGCTTCATCCCGCGCCGCCCGGGGCCTCGGACGCCCGCCCGCGGCGCGCAATTCCCATTGGCAACTATGCGGAACATGGATGGCGCGGCCCAGACTAATGCAAGGGAAGATTTCCGTCGGGGGGGTTGTTTTTTGGTGAGGGGTTTTTTTTGGGTTTTTTTGGGGTTTTTTGGGTTTTTGGGTTTTTTTTTCCAGATACAACCACTGAAAGAGAACAGCTACAAACATTGCGATTCCGAAAGAACTTTGTGAGAATTAACAAGGGAAGACATTCAACTCTGGGGGGAGTGCGGGGTGTTTGCTGGGGGTTGGTTGGTTCCTTTTTAAACAGACCCCAAGGAGTGGTTCGATTCTGCACAGCTCTGGGCCATTACAGAACCTCCTGCACGAAGCACAGGGATAGATTTTCTTACTGTTTTCTTATCTTTTTCTTTGTTGCTGTTGTTGTTTCATTTGTTTTTCTTAATTATGCAAATCTACTTCCCCACCCCGCCGTATTTTTGAACTGGAACAGAACTCCCTAATATTTTCGTGGCATAAATTACATTATGCAGAGAAAGGCAACAAATGAAATTTTGTCTAAATTAAAATTAGGACCTACTGTAGGCTTGCTCAAGACCCTTTTCGCCAAAGTACTGGGAGTGAGCAGAAGAGTCATGCAGCTTATCAGTAAAACAAGTACATATTTTTGCCATTTTTCTTCAGTGCTCATTAAGATTATTTCTTTTTTTTTTTTTAAGGTCTGTGTTCTCAGTCTGCAACTTGCTATTTCTTGCATAAAGACTGGGAAGAACTTTTTGTTTTAAACAGCATTCTTACACAACATGTTGAACCTTCAACGAGGGAAACACAGAACTAGCACTAGAGTTCTCTCAGCTAAAAGGATGGACATATTAAAATAATAAAAAAATAAAAGGAGAACACCTCTGCAAATAAAAAGAAACCTCTCCTCATCTGGGACACACACATTGAGCTTTTAAAAAAACTCAAAATTCATAAATACGGTCGTCGTATAGAACTTTAGAGAATTAAGGCTTCTAAAAACTTCAGTGCCAAAATAACCTCTCTGCATCAGTATTAAGAATAAAACATTTTCCATTTTAGGTTGTGCTTGCTTGCTTGCTCTTTTTTTTTTTTTTTTTCCTTTTTTTTTAAAGACTTCTCTTAGTTCCGTAGAATTTTGTCACATAATATTACATACCGAAGGGGAGTGTTAGAACTGCTTACTGAGGTTTTGGGTTTTTTTTTTTTTTTTTTAAGTAGTTGTTAGGCTAAGTTACAGCGATAAAATTCGATTACTGATCTGATTCGTTACTACTTTACACTGGGGGGGCTGTTGGCTCATTTCACCTTCTTTTCATGCTTGATGTGGCCGTTCCTCCTGTACTTGCCGTTGGGGATCCCGTTCTGGTAGTGTCCGTTCACGGCGCTGTGTTTGTCCTTCGACCAGAGCTCTTTGCTCTGCCTGCAGACAAACCTGGCCATCCTGGCCAACACATAGTAAAGTAAGGCAGCACCCACTAGAAGGACAAAGGCAATATCCAGTAAGAAATACTGAAAGAGGGAGATGCTGTAAACAGCGGCACGTAGATGTTGGGCTCCGTTGTGGCGGAGGATGTAGTTAATCCAGTACACAGTCCGGTTCACGGGGTGGCCAGGCTGGTCCTTGTGGATCTCAGACAGCCGCTGCGCCCGCTGCCGGTAGCTGGGGGGAGAACAAACGAGGAAGGGGGAAGAACGGGAGGGGAAAAAAAAAAAAAAAATCACCACGTTACGCTACCGGGCAGGTGGAGAAATGCAGAAGGACGAGAAACCCGGGGCTGGTTTCGCAACGGGGACCGTTTCCGCTCCCGGCCGGAGTTTCACCTAAAACTTCTCAAACTTCTCGTTTTCACCCCAGTGACTCATCGTGTCAAATTGCTCCTCTCCTCCCTGCAGGGTCAGCAGGTTATTCACACACGACTTGCCTTTTCACTGACGGTAATTGCACAAGGGAAAGGTGATGCAACTGATGTTATCGAGGTCTCTCTGCCGCACATCCCCCCTCTCTCCTCCCCTTTGCTGCTCGATCCCTACAGGATTCTCCTTCCCCAGGGCAAGCACCACTTGGAGACTCCAAGAAAGCAAGCTCCCAAGAAAGCAAGAAGCATCAACAACACCATGCTCCAAAGTCAGGGTTAGCCAACACAATATATTGCCAGCTAACACCTCACTACTTTTCATCTGGAGGTCGTCTCAACAAAGGTGTTTGAAAACAGAACACTCAGAACCAACTCGTGGAGCAACTCTCCTCACACAAGGATTGTTGAAAGAAAACTTATTTGCTGGAATTAGAAAGAATTCTGAAACTCAGCTCACAGGCTTGCACTTATTCCCCTGAGTAACAAAACAAAACAAAAAAAATCAGACTGGAGTCCTCATTCATAACAACTTGTCAAAATATTGTCATTGTGAAATGACAAAATTTGTGTGAATGCAAAAATGACATTCCTGAATTAAGACAGGTATTACTAACTAGAACAGGAAAATATTTGAGGTTTTTTTTTTTAAATCAGATCATGGGACTTAAGAGTCACTCTTAGTGAATACCTCCCTCTCTAAACTACAACCCAAGTTGCGTATGTGTATCTTGCTCCAGGCCTCTGAGGCAGCACAACAGCCAGGCTGGTAGTAAGAAAGAATCCAGACAGACACAGGGAGACCTTGGTCTGCAACATGGAATAAGTCAGGACAGGTTTGTTTCCATAACCCCTCTGCCCTCCACATGGCAACTGCCCCAAAGAGCACGTGAGACAACTGAGTTTTGGTAGGGAGCAACGAGCCCAGCACCTACACAGAAACCTCAGCCCTGGGGAATCCTGGGAAACGGGACAAACAGCCCCAGGCTTGCCCCAGTTGTACAGACAAATAAAACCCAACATGCAGTTTTTCCCCCCCACTGCACAAAGGTTTGGTACGGTCATACTTAACCCGCAGAAAACCCCTTGTGCCATACCTGGGGTCATTAATAACTTTTACTAGGGCTTCATACAGTGCACTCTCAGTCATAGTCTTCCAGTTGAGCAGGATTCCCATGCCTTTGGCCTGCACACGGGTCATGGTATCGTAATGGTCTCCAAAAAGGGGGATCCCCACCACTGGGACCCCGTGGTACATGGTTTCAAAAATGCTGTTCAAACCTCCATGGCTAAGGAAAGCTTTGATGTTGGAGTGACCTGAAAGCAGAAGAGGCATGAAGGTTAAAGGACACATTTCTATCTCCTTATTGTAAAGTTATTGAAGCACCTGGGTACAACATATCTGTCAGTGTTTCTGCGGCTGAAACTCAGGCAGGGCAAAATTATTTCAACTTATTCTAAAGTTCTCCCTAAGCCCACTCTGCTGAAATTCCTCGTGGATTAAATCACTTCCTGATACACTACGAGAGGGAACAGCCCAAGCAAAGAAAGTTCTCATGTACATGAGTCATGTAAAATGATTAATGGAGTCATTAACATGCACTTCTCACTGGCGAGTAGCTGCAGGTGGTGACTGCAGCAGGTTTAGCAGTACAAGTGAGCGAGGGAGAGCACGTTTGGGGATGAAATACAAGACCTTCAAATGCAGGACAACTGATGTTATGCTCTCTCTAAAGCCCCCCATGCCTTACTTCAGGCCAGCAAACACTGACAACCACAGGAACAGCTCCATGGAATGGGGGAAAAAAACCAAAAAAATCACACTGCCTCGGAGCACTTCTGTAACCAAAACAATCTACCTGCTTTTAGAAGTCATTTGCCTAATCACCACGTCAGGATAAATACTCCAGCTGACACACAGCACACACACTGATGTTTAATGCATTCATCAGCACCCGCTGGAGCTGTTTTGGGAACACAAACATCCAGGTATCCCAGAGACAGTCAGAAACACTCTGTGGCCTCTCATATCCTCAAGGGACTCAGCTATCATCTTGAAATCCTAATTCTGTATCCTTGCTCTCTGACTTGCATGACAGAAGCGATCCTGGCTTAATTCTGCTCATTCAGCAGAATATTTTTAGCAGAGCAAACTGAAATCAAGTGAGAATAGGCAGTGTCTCATCAAAACAGATACTCACCCAGGAGGTCGTTCTGCGGTAACCACTCAATCAGCTTCGTGTTGTTGCCTAAATTCCTTGGTTTGTTCCCTGAAAACCTAAACCAGTGAAAAATCAAATGGAAGCTGGAGTTATCAAGACCTCCAGAATGAGTCCCATAGGGCAGAGCTGTTCTGTGGCAGCTCCATCGACCCACTTCAATATTCTGTTTATTGGAGAGCATTTGAACAGTCACTTAAACAACCACCCACTCATTCCCAATTAAGCAAGACTTACTTAGGACTGGCTTGTACATTCTGTATGTATTATCAGAAGACTATTTACATTAAATTATAGAAAAGCAACTAAACAGTTACACTGGGCTCCACAATCCAAAGAACTACAAAGATTCCCTTGGTTTATCACGGTGACGTAAGACTGCCAAGCTGTACTACCACCTCTCTCATTCCCAGAAGTATCCAGTATAAATCCACCTGTGTCCAACACAGGCATAGGTCAATGATGTCAAAAATGAACCCAATCATCCCCCCCAAAAAACCCTCCAAGCCGTGTTTGACTGATAATATTTAGGTATTTAATTATGGATCTCAAATTCCCACTGGGGTGGATCGACTGCCTATCCCTCCTTGTCTTGCACCTTGTCCCAGGGACATCTTCCCATTTTGTAAATCATGATGGAAAGAAACAGCAGGTTGGGTTCCCTTATCCAAAAAGCCATTCAGCAAAATTTAGACTGCAGGTAACAAAAAGAAAAATCCACCGCAATGAAAAATGTTAAGGAAACACTAGCAAAAAAAGCCATTTAATAGAAGGCTTCAGTTGAAGTTGTTGTTTTGGCATTAAAAAAGCTACCATCAAGAAAAAAAAATCTGTTAAAATTGACTGACTTACTACAAAAAGTGGATACCTGTACAGAGAAATATTCCAGGGAAAACATAAGGAAAGGACAGAGAAGAAAAGCAGCAAGATCAACTGGGACCAATAATTGACTGGAGGCCAAGCAGAGAAAACATAGTGGCTCTACCCCAACCCAAAAGTGATGCAATCTTTACTCCAACTACCCCAGGTTCTGTGCCACAGGCTGGAGAATTCCCATTTTCCTGTTCATTAGTGGGGTTTGCTACTTCAATTACACACAGCAGTGAGGACATTCCTTAAGAGATGGCAGGGAACAGGCTGCTAAATAGCCTGTTAATACAACTCCAACAGCAGGGCAGCAAGGCAGGCGTTGTAAGACACTGATTATTTAGAAATAAACGGTTCACATGAACTCCTCCAAATTAATCATTGATGCTCCACGTGAAGCAGAGCTGACTAAACAATTTTGGGGTTTTTCCAGCCAGTTGAGAGCACCACTCAAGATGTTTTCAGAGCTGAGAAAGCTTATTGCTGATTTTGACTCCCGCAGATTTGTCTCCCTCCAATTTCTCACAGAAAAAAAAAACAAAACAAAACCAAGTGAGAAAATCAATAATGAAAGCCCGTGTTCACAGATGAAAATGGAAAAGGGGCCTAAAAAAGTGAGGGTAAAGGGAAAGAAGAAGAAGAAAACCTAGGATTTAATCATCAGGATTCACTCTTGAGCCCCAGGGTGGCTTTTTTGTCAAAAATGATGGCAGTATGTCACAGATGTTATAACCTCAGATTCTTTTCACTGTCCCCAATCCTTCCAGGATATCAACTGGGCACAGGAATGTAACCCATGCTTTATTGTGCCACAAAAAAAAATATCAGTGCTCCCCTTTATTGCCGGGGAATTGCACTGTTTCCACGAGGAGTGCCTTTCAGCAGAGTCAGGTGCTCTGTGCCAATTCCAGCCTCTGCAACTCCGGGTTCAGATGGCACAGCAGGAAACAAGGCTGGTGCAGAGCACCCCAAGCGCCTCCCCCACTGCACTCACCTCCAAATAACCCTCTGGGGCAGCCTGGCCAGGGCATGTGCCAACTTGTTGGCGATGTCTTCCGACAGGTACTTCACTCCAGCCCCGAAGGAGACGAGCACGAAGCCGTTCTCGTTAGCACCATTCACCCACGCCTGGAGATCCTGGGGGGGGGAAAACGGACACTGAGCACCACACGGGCAAAGCACACAAACAGGGAGCAAACGGGGCTGAGGAAGAACAGTTGGGGGTGCCTTGGTTGCTTCACGAGCCAAGTTTCAGGAGTTGCAAACATTCCAGATACCACTGGGAACAACGACTCGATGAGTCAGAATCCACGGCCACGAACAGCAAAACCCTTCCATGTTTGTTTTAGCTGCCATATTAACCCCTAGTGATTGAAGACAATCTATCCCTTCACTGATCAGTTGACACACCCTCTCACAAGTTAACACATCACATTTTAACTCAGCAAAACACAGAGAGATCCACTTTGTAGGAAACAGATCCACGCTGTAGCATCAGCCTGGAAGAACGGCACAGGGAAAGTGTGAATGAAGCTGGGGCTTGGCTCTGGCATTTTCAGCTTTTAAGAAAGTGACAGTACCTCAAAAGGTTTGTTTTGCTTTCTTTGGTATGAAAATAATAAACACAAATTGAAAGAAGCCAGAGCTTCAAAAAAACACTTTCGGTTTCCAGCACGTGAAGAAGGGGAAACAAAAAAAAAATGACCCCACGGACATGCAGATATATCACTGGGATGAGGAATATTTTGTGTTTCTCGGGACGTGGTTCAATTCTGGCCTCACCAAGTGTAAGCACAAGCCTGCTCAACACCAGCACAGCAATAGGAAGTGAGCAAAGAGAAAAATCAAGAGCCCTGCTCACAATGCGCCTCTTGTCCCGGGAATAAAGAGCGGGGCGGGCAGGACTGGAGTAACGCCGTGCTATCGGATCCCAGCACAAAACCTGCCCCCAAACCCACTCTGCTCTCTGCTATGCAGCAAAAAACACTCCCAGTTTCTCTACAGGCCACACTTCACCCTTTTCCAGTGCGCTCTCTCTTCCTATTTTTTATTCATGTGAAGGGAGAGGAAGGAGGGAAAGGAGGGGAAGCGGCTGTGACCTGCCTCGAAGCTGAATCATTTATTAGGGGCTGAACTTCTGACACAAAAAAGTTTCCAAGTGGTTCTGTGATTTATTTAAAGCTCGTCCTTGAATCTTAGTTAAGGACCTAAGGCATGCTGCAAATGTCATTGAATTATAACAACTCGAGTGGTTCAATTAGTTACATCTTAAACCATTTCTTATCAGTTTAAAGTTCAAGAGAAAATAACTTTTTGTGGGCTCTGGGACAAACCATGCTGGAAAGCCCAACCAAATCTCAGCCTTGACTGGTAAGGTTGGCCTTTGGATGGAGCAAATAATCCCAGAGGATCCTGGCATCAGGAGGTCCTACCTGTGACTACTTCTGCATGGTCAGACACGTGGTTTTCTGCTGCTAGAGATGAGCCTGTTCTGGCTGAGAAACTGCTCCCAAGGCTACTGCTCCTCTGTGCTTAATTAGAAATTCTGTGAGACTTCACATCTCTGATGTATTCACAAAGCAAAAATTATACTTCGTTACGTAAACATACAGGAGGTGTAAAATATTTCCTGGCAATGGAATTTCTAAAACAGCATTCAAAAATCCCCATGCACAGTAACAAATAGCTATTAAGTACTTTGAATTTTATGTATGGGGGAAAGAAGGCAATTTTATTGTGTGCCACAGAATCAGAGTCACCTGCAAACAGGCTTTTCCATTTTATTATTGTGCAACAGCAAAGCAACCTGCTTTGTGTTAGGAGGGCTGGTTTCAGAGCCAAACCCCTGTAATCCTTCCCTTTGAAGGTAATCCCACTGCTTCCAGTGGAACATCACGTGTACAAAGGTGAACTTAAAATCTCCACAGGCAAGGCAAGATCCTGCCATCAGGCTCGAAAGATGGGATTTGTTTGTTGCATTAAATAGGATTACATTAATTGCTTACCTGCCTCCTGATCTGCAGCCCCTTTCCAAGCTGCTTCCCCAGAGGGGTGCTGGACATCACTACAGTGCACGGGCTGCTCAAAAGCAACTAGAGACTTGTCAGGCTGAGGGCTCTCCTCGCATACTTCTGTGTAATTCCTGGCACAGCACAGCCTGGATTAAATGGGATCACTGAGCATCACTAGAAACGCAGAGTTGGGGAAAAACCAGGAAATGGAAAGCGAGGAACTTACACTGACTGCCTCCTTGGAGAGCTCCCCGAGGCCGTGACCTGGCTGAGTCCGTCATTCTCAGGTTCCTTTGACTTCTGAGCATTATTTCTCCTGACAGCTTTTTAGCACGGGCTTTTCTAAACCGAAGATCAAGTGAAACCGAATCCAAAGGAGGGGCGTTCGCAGCTCTTTGGTTTTAAGACAGATCTGAACGTCCTGGTACAAATTAGCTGGGCCAGGGCACAAGGGCTCAAGTATTTCCTTGTACCTTCCTTGTTCTTTGTGTGACATACAAGGTGCAGCAGTGATAGAGCAGATAAGAAGCAGACTGTGATCCTGGCACATCAAACAGACCGAATACTTCGACAGCACTACTTACTACTGCAGCTGTGCATTTCATTTTATTTTGCAAAATTAGGAATGTAAATGCAAAAACTGTCAGCTGGGGCGATGCCCCCAGGACCATAACACTGGAAGAGCACACGCTGATGTGCTGATGCCACAGCACAACCTTGTTTGCTTAAAATTTCAGCAGCCTTCCTTCAGTCCCCTCGCCACTCATTAGGGCCATATTATTAACCCAAACACCCCGAGCACCAGCCCCGACGAATCCACCACCCGCTGAAAACCCTCACAGACACCCAGCTCGTCCCCTGTGAGCTCACCCCTTTCTTCTCCTTAAATCCACTTACACTTTTGACCTCCAGCTCGTTCTGCCTTCCCGATCTAATTACGCTCTGTATGAAAAGGCCCTGAGTCAGGCTGATGAGTCATTAGAGCTGCCCTCATTAAAATCAGCCTGCCCTGGCCGGGCAGCACTTCACGGGCTCCTGGCGTGCAGCAAAGCGACCTCCTTTTGCCCACTTGAAATGATTTTCAGGTTTACTGTAAACTCAGGGTGATTTTTTTTTTTTATTTTTTTTTTAAACGCAGGGAAAGGAAATCGCAACTTCTGAGGTCTAAAGTACAGGAGAAATCCGGGGAGGGAGGTTATTACACGACGAGTTGCATTGAACCTTCCTCACACTCTGCTTCGAACTTGAACAGAATACAGAGGGAAACAACTTGAAATTTTGCATATAAATTCAAGACATGCCCTTCTTTAAAAGGTTCTGGAACAGAACACCTAATACTTTTCCCCCCCCCCCCCAGATATAAGTATTTGCAGATTTTCTTTTGAAAATCTGCCTCAGTTTAAGTCCCAGCACAGCCAGCAAACAGCTTCACTGAGGCTGCACTGCCAACTTCACAAACTTACCAGTGACTTGGAAATTATTACCCCCTAAAACCTCGATGAACTTGAAAGCAAAACTTTCAGTAGAAGTTCTAATAAAAACTTCGATCAGCCACTCACAGAACTTGTGTACGCCATGTCCATTAGAAGTATAATTATTCTGTAATTTCACACTGCAAATAAGCTGACACTAATGTAGCATTCAGCTGGATACTCGGATTTTCCAGAAATTTTAAGACACAAATACAGCTGAGAAGTTTGGGATTACAGAGGTGCTTGCCAAAATGACCTGGGAGAGGGAAGCTGTTTTGTCCAGACTGTGACAGTCAGTGGAGAGGCTCAGAGTATAACTGAGCACCTGTAGCTGGACACACACCTCCCCTCGCTGGGAACTTCCCACTTTGGAAGAGGTGAGCCCACAGGAAAGACAGGAAACCTGGCAAGCCTAATTAGAGCACATTCAGGTTCTGTACTGAATTGTGAACTGCGTTTTCTAACTGAATGTTGGGTTTCATCCAGTTACAGCCCCGCCTACACTGACAATAAAATATCACCTCACACAGACACACATTAATTACCATTTTCACTTGAAGCAATGCATATTAAGGTATGAAAACCTCAGAGGACTCCCAGTTGCAACACTGTGCCCAGCCCTGCCCGTTTCCATGTCACTCCCGTGCAAATGCATGTTCTCGGGGCAGGGGGAATAGTGGAAGAGCCTCCATAGGGAGAAGAAGCACTTATTGATCTGTGCTGTACTATAGGCACGGGGGGGGGGGGGGATAAAGAAATAAAATCAATCTTTTGAGCATGCAGGGACAGGAATGCCATTGTGGCAGCCCCACTGTGTGGGCTTTGTTCTGCCCGGTTCTCTAATTAGCCATTCTTTGCAGGGCTGGACGCTGGAGGCACAGCTGTGACGGGAGAGTGAGGGCCCAGCTGGCAGTAACCAGTGGTGCCTAATACTGAGCTTTGTTTCGCATAAACAAAGTGCCCAAGTACAAACATAACCGGGTTTAAGAGCCGAAGCTTTGCCCTGTTCAGCTGCTCGATTCAAAATGGGGAAGAGCACAAATGCCTGTTCTTCAAATATGGTTGCAAACCACCCTTTCCCCCCAGGGGAGAGCACAGGCATCCCATGCAACTTCTCCTGTTTAAATGCTGCCTAGAGCAGACAAAATGAGATCTATTTCAAAATGAGAAGCCACATTAAGCCATTTCTAAACACATTAACTGTTTAGAAGGGAGATACTGATAAATAAACAGAAAGGTACACAGACCATTTCTATGTTGGTGTCTGAACTCCCCTGGCATCTTCTAAATAGTACTTCTTATGTGACATATTTCTTCATGAATACATTTTTATTTCAAATTTTACTAAACCAGCTCAGCAGCACAGGTGGGTGAAGGTCACACAGGTGCCATTACACAACCTTTACCGTCCCAAACCAAACAAGATCATATCATATACTGTGGAAGTTACAAAACAACCCATCAGTCCACGGCAAACCCAGAGAAAACACCATCACCTGAGGCAGAGGAGGCTTTGTATTTACTTGCCATGAATTTGTAACTCAGTTTACAACCGAAAACACGAGTTATTTGCTCTAAGGAACAAAGGAGAGGGAACATCACTGTGAACTCCTGGCTGGATGAGGCAGAGGATGCCTCACACCTCCCTGACTCC